GTATTCTTTCTTTTTTTTTTTTTAAGAAATTAAAACTTTTATTCAGCAAGGATGTGTTAAATTGTTAAGAAGTGATAGCAAAGATTTATATTGTTAGAAAAGATTTCTATTTTGAATAAATGCTGTTCTTTTTAATCATCAAAGAATCCTGAAAAAAGTATCGCAGTTTCCAAAAAAAAATAAAAAATAAGTTGGCAGCACAACTGTTGCCAACATTGATAATTCTGATAATAAATCAGCATATTAGAATGATTTCTGAAGGATCATGTGACACTTTATACTGGAGCTTTGCATCACAGGAATAAATTACATTTTAAAGGATATTAAAATAGAAACCATTATTTTATATTATAATAACATTTTGCAAGATGACTGTTTTTTTCTGTATTTTTGATCAAATAAATACAGCCGTGATGAGCATAAGAGACTTCTTTAAAACAAACACATTACAAGTCTTACTGATCCCAATCTTTTGTGAATATGATATGTAGTGTATATGATGATATGTATATAATTATATGGATTATATACACTCTCATGACTCTGTGTCAAGGCCAGTAAGTAGAGTATCCGATAATTTGACGTTTGTATGACATATCAAATAACCCCTCAAACCCCTATTATGATCTGTAAGAAAGTTTGTTACCTAAAAAAGTTCAAATATGTAATACTTGATAATTAAAGAGCATGGATACAGAGATTACATGTACAAGATTTTTTTTTCAAATGCATTTGAAACTAGATTTCTAAAAACAATTATAATTTTCTTTTTTTTTTCATTGAAATATATATCACTAATAACAAATAACATATCTGTGCAGTTCCTATAGTAATAGTTTAGTAATACCAAAGTCCCTTTAAGGTATTCTATAGTCTTTGGTAATACCCATGAATTTCCTTTTAAGTTTGTTGTAACATAACATCAATAAGTCACTGAGTGCTCATCAAAGACCTTTCGGTTTCTTCTTTCGTAGGAACCTGTTGTTGAAGGGTTGCATTTTTAGTGTATTGTGTTACTACTGGCTCAAGAAAATTTCTGGCAGGAAGAATGGACGAAATACACGGCAGGTGACCAAAAACATCAAATCTGATCTTTTTTTAAATTCAGAAACAGTATGTTGTTACTATTTTGACAATAATAACAAAACAATATTGATTAAGCAGCCAATCCTTACAGTGTGTTGATTGGGTGTATGAGAATATTTGTAAGAGAAATGTCTTATATATCTATGAGATTATTAGTTGAATATGAAATGAAGCAGGCCTGTTTTCATTTGTGCTTACTTGCAGTGCTGGGAGACACTGGTTGGTCAAGAGCTTTACCGTTTGGTTTTAATGGATCTGCTATTTGCAATGTCATACATCATCTTAGCGGAGTTTCTGTGGGGGTAAGTTCTCACGTTTCCATGTGATAGCAGGGATGTTTAGCTGGATGTGTTGACTTTTTCTGCCCCTTCAGGTTTTGTATTAGAAACATCACATTAAGAAAAAGGAAACTAGAGTTTGACATCGCACGAGATGTTCTGGAGCTCATCTACGGCCAAACACTTGTGTGGTACTGTCATCTCCTCCTCGTGAAGAAACATTGCATTGTGTTCTGGTGGCTTCTCACTAACAGTATTTTCCGTGTTCTCTTTGTAGGTTTGGTGTGCTGTTTTCACCGCTCTTGCCTGCAGTGCAAATTGGGAAACTGTTTCTACTGTTCTACTTCAAAAAGGTCAAGATCTTCTTATGCCTGGTTCAGACTACACGATTTTAGCACGATTTTGCCATGATTTGCTTGACATAGGGTGTCGTGGGGATTCGTAAATGACAATGGGCGTCGGGACGCAAGATTCAAACGTTTCAGCACGTGTAGTGTGTCATAGTGGACGACAACAATGGGCGTCGTGACGCAAGATTCAATCGTTTCAGCACGTGTAGTGTGTCATAGTTGACGACAACCGATTCCGTGTCTGCGATGCTTCACGACAGAAAGACTAGCATGTTTAACTTTTTTTCCGTCGTCCACGACGAGTTCTGTCACATTGGAATTCCGCATCTGCGATGCTTCAAGACATCACGACAGAAATACTAGCATGTTTAACTTTTTTTCCGTCGTCCACGACGAGTTCTGTCACATTGGTGACATTGACCAATAGCAGCACAGAAGCTCTTTCATACACAGGTTTCAAACATGGCGAAACGAAAGAGAGATGATGGTGCTGCTAGGTGGAATTATGAGATGGAGGAAAGGTTCGTGGAGCTGTGGCAACAGTACTCCTGCCTGTATGATGTGTCATCGAGGGACTACCACGACAGAACAAAGAAAGAAAAATGCTGGCGAACTATAGCGGAAGCGCTTCAGCAATGTTTACACTCTTGTTTTCGGAAGTCAGTCGCTAGTTCCGCCTTCTCGATGACATCACGCGCGTCGTTAAAGACGGCACGCGATGAATGGTCGGGAAGCAACGTGTAGTCTGACATGTTTCTTGTCCACGACACGACAAGATTTTAGGAGTCAAAATCGTGTAATCTGACTATCGTGACCGACAAAAATATCGTGTAGTCTGAACCCGGCATTAGTCATTTATAGGCTTCACTGGGTTGAAGGTGCATGGAGGATAGAAGATTGAGTTTAACGCTTTAAATGTAAAAGTGTAGTTCCTCCGAAAGTGAAATTCGGTCATCATTTATTTACCATCATGCTGTTCTTTAGTGAAACACAAAAGGAGAAAACATAAGCTGGATGTACTTGCTAAGTGAATGGGAATTCTGCAATACTGCCAAAAATACAAAAAGCATCATGAAAGTGGATCATGTGACTGATGCACTGTATTTCAGCTTTCGTGAACAGATTTTGTGAGAAGCAACGCAAAAGTGAAGTTGTTATTTACTCGTTTGCAGTTTTCAAACTTGCCATGTTGTGGTTGGTCACATGACATCCAAGAAACAATGACATCAAACCTAGAGCAACACAGGCTATTTTAAAGGTTTAAAGGCTATTTTTCTACTATTTTTGAATTAGACACAAGTGTGAATGACCTTTGTGAACACCAGTGGATGGGGACATTATAAGTGACAACTTTTTTTTTCTTCACACATAGATATCATATGGTTCCTAAGCCTTGGAACATAGCCAGTTACATGAGCTACCTTTTTTACAGTCTCAGAAAAAAATTTACAAAAACTTTACCTATAGAGGTACAGCATTGGCAATTTTGTATCGTATCTACCTCTAAGTACTAACTTGAGGATACATATTATACTCTAATGTACTAATATGCAACTTTTGGGGCAGATAAGTTACAAAGTTGACCCTTTTAACCCCTTAACTGTCACTCACATTTTTGAACATAGACGTGAAAGTGCACGATCCAAACTTAAATTTTTATAATTCATGAATGAAAACATTTTGTAACATGATATTGATGTACCATTTTCATGGTAATGCAATGTTTGATTTTAAAATGGGTTTCAAAGGATGAATTTTAAGATTTTAAGTTTTCAATTGATATATAATTTCTGATGATTTCTAAAGTGTGATAGAGAAAAAGGCAACGAATACTTTTTTGGACAAAGGTCAGAACTCCTGTTATGATGTAGATTTTTGAGGTGCACTCTTGTCAAAAATTAATCTATTACTTTTCCTACATAATTTTTTAACAAAAACATTGGTAAAATATTTATTTAGGAGTCTTAGACCTTTCCAACGATATATAGTTTGTCATGATTAAACTAGGATTTCATTGTAATATAGTGAAGTAAACTTAGAGAAAACATACTTCACTAAATGATATAGTGGGGACGGGTGACAGTTAAAGGGTTAAGGGTACTGTCCCAGTAAAATGTTTGCTCATTTTTTTCTTATAGTATACCTTTATTGAACCTTTCATCTAAGTATGGAAAAGGGCAGCTATACCTAACATCATCTTTTGTGTTTCATGAAAGACAGAAAATAATACAGGGTAGAAAGAAAACAATACAGGTGTGTAATGACATTATATCAGAAGTGTCATATTTGGGAGAAGTTTTCCTTGTGCTGCAATGTACTGTAGAAAGAAATTGTGTCTTTAACTCTATAATAATTCATTAGAAATGTTCTATTTACAGTATATTTTTAGGATATCCAGGGTCAATTACATGTGTATGTTTGTCACCCCCTTTATAGTCGAGTTTGATGATGAACTTCCAACCACCCAGGAAACACTGGAGGGCCACTCAGATGAGCACATTCTTCATCAAACTCCTGTTTTTCCCCTCCTTCACTGGGGCCCTTGCATGTGTCATTTATACAATGTGGAGGTTTGTCTCTTCAGAGTATACATTCACATTCTCCAGAATACGATGTAGATGGAGGACCAAATCTGGCAAAATCAAAAATAAATAAAGCATTAAAGGGTTAGTTCATCCAAAAATGAAAATTCTGTCATTAATTACTTACCCTCATGTCGTTTCAAACCCGTAAGACCTTCGTTCATCTTCGGAACACAAATTAAAGGCCGGGACACACCAAGCCGACGGTGACGGCGAGCGGCGGTCGGGCTAGTTTGTTTGGTGTGTTCCACTCGTCGGCTCTCGTCGGTCTCACGTCGGCGGCAGTTTGCCCGATTCAACATGTTGAATCGGCGTCGGGACCGTCGGCGCGAGTGAGAGCTCTGATTGGATGTTCAATAATGTGGCTGTGAGGACGTCAAATGGGGCTTTGGAGTTCTTGTCAGATAGTCCACAGGCCAAAGTGTGGTGGTCGTCGGGTGAGGGTGCAGTGAAGTGTAGAGATATTGCTTGAACAAGATTGTTGAATGTATGACAGGAAGCTTGGCTGGTTGATGCGGACTTGGCCATGTGGCTTCACTTAACAAGCTTCCCTTGTGTAACAGTAACAAGGCCTTGATAATCTTCAGCAGCACAAATACAGCACAATGAATAGCACTCTTCTCCTCTGGGATAGGATATAAAGAATAGACACTCACAAATACGATTAATACTAAAAATCACTTTTGAGTGCAAAATAAAAATAAATGGAAATGTTCATTTGCATTATAAAGACAAGGGGGCTTTTTAGTTTTGTGTTGCACTTGTAATTTAAAGCAAAACTAAACAACTAGAGATGTGTGTAATTTTATTGTGAATAAGGGATGTTTTAGCCAAAATTCAAAGCTCTTAAAGGGATAGTTCACCCGAAAATTCTGTCATTAATTACTCACCCTCATGTCGTTTCAAACCCGTAAGACCTTCGTTCATCTTCGGAACACAAATTAAGATATTTTTGATGGAATCTGAGAGCTGTCTGACCCTGCATAGACAGCAATGCAACTGCAATGTTCCCAAGTCCAGAAACGTAGCAAGGAGATCGGTAAAATAATCCATGTGAGATCAGGGGTTCAACTGTAATTTTACGAAGCTACGAGAATACTTTTTGTGCGTAAAAGAAAAAAAAATTTGAATTCAACAATTCATCTCCTGTAAACAGCGTATGCTGTTCTGTGTCAGCTGCGTCACACCGGATCTGTTTCCTACTTGGTTGTGATTTGATCTGAACGAAAACAGCGTATCCGTGATCGGATTATTTTACCCATCTCCTTGCAACGTCTCTGGACTTGGGAACATTTCAGTTGTGTTGCTTTCTATGCAGGGTCAGACAGCTCTCAGATTCCATCAAAAATATCTTAATTTGTGTTCCGAAGATGAACGAAGGTCTTACGGGTTTGAAACGACATGAGGGTGAGTAATTAATGACAGAATTTTCATTTTTGGGTGAACTATCCCTTTAATACACACCCCAGAGCTTCCTTTCAAGGTGGTCTAGCATACTGGTTAAAAAAAAAAGTCCTTTTGACAATTTTAAAAGGATAGTTGTCTCAAAAAATAAAAATTCTCACATTGTTCTTTACTTGGTGGAACACAAAAGATATTTGAAGAATGTTTCAGCAGGTTTTGTCCTTCAAATATGTTCACATGAATTGTTCCTTCATACAGCATGTTTGTCTTGACACAATGCAAATTATGTCAATTATATAGAGACGTTAAAGTGCTAGTGTGTTTTGTTCTCTTAGGGTCAGGCCCTCATCAGATTGCGGGCCCTTTAGTAACCTCCACAGCATGCTTCGCTTAGGCAAGAAGTGGATCAGGGGCCTGGGCAGGTCAAAGCCCAGTATGTTCTGGCTCAGCTGGGCTTATAATCACCTGGTGGACAACCCTTTGTTCCTCTTCATCACTGCAGGCCTGTTCCTGTGAGTACTCCTCACTCATGGGTCTGCTGGGTGCAGTAGAGATCAGATTTGGGTCATTTTTTAAACTGTCACCTCTGTCTCTTTCCAGCACCATTATATACATTCACATGCAAGTTTTGGATGGCCAAAAGATGATCATTGTAAGGTTACAAGAACAAATAGACAATGTGAGTATCATGAGCCTTGTGGAAAAGTACGGTAGCATTTTTTTTTTTAAGTACCTATTACTTAATACTTTAAAAGAATATACTTAAGTGTGAACTTAATATTAAATATTATTATATTAAATGTAATTAGTTGAACTTAAGAGTTTTTTTCATGCACTTAAATAGGACTTAAGTAGCTTATATGTAATTTCAAAATTATATTGTCTTTGAAATATGGAAGTGTACTGCTGAATGTACTGACAAGCTTATGTGGTAAACTAAAATGTAATGAAATTTCTATTGAAACCTGTATGGCATGCATTTAAATATACTTGTAATTAAACATTTGTAATGGTGAAGTTGCAATTTAGTACATTTCAAATATGTTAACTTTAAATGTAATATCAAATAAAAAACACTAGTTCAATTATATTCAAGTACTTTACATGTGTTTTAGTGTGCTAGTCAACACAAAATAAGTGTACTTCTTTAAAGCACAACAAAAGTGTATTAAAACATAATGCTTTTAAAAACATTTAATTTAAAATTATTACAAAGTGTCTCAAGAAAAAAAAAGTCATAAAAGTCTCTTTAAGTGCACTTAAGTGTCTTTTTATTTCATTAATATATTATCTGCAAGTACAGTTTTTTAAAATATACTTTTAAGATTTGAGGTACACAGCGAGTGCACATTATTAAGCATAATTAAGGGGATACACTTTCAATTAGTAAACTTGGTTTCCATATTTAATGGGGACATTCCATAGGCATAATGGTTTTTCTACTGTACAAACTGTATGTTCTATCCCCTCACCCTACCCTAAACTTACCCCTCACAGAAAAATACAGGCATTTTTATATTTTCAAAATCTTCTTTCTGTATGACTTACAAGCTGTTTTCCTCGTGGGGACCAAAATGTCACAACAAGGTCAAAATTTACTGGTAATACTACACTTGTGGGGACCCCATAATGTAGTGACCTCACACACACACACACACACACACACACACACACACACACATACATACACACACACACATACATGGTTCATTTGGAATCTGCATAGGTGTGATGGTTTTTATACTGAGCTAGTCAAATTTTCTATCCTCTAACAGAAATCTTCTGCCATTTTTTGAATAAAAAAAAACAACTACACTTGTTTATTATGTTTTTTTAACCATCTCATTTGGCTTCTTAGGAGGGTGAAGATAAGAAGTTCCTTATAGCTAAACTACAGAGCCTCAATGAGGCGAGTGCTCCACAGTAAGGTGAGCTTTTCAGTCTTTCCTTTTAACTAGAAATTCTCCCTTTACATTTCTTTGTGCATTCAGGATGTTTGATGTTCAGATAAATGAATGTTTGAAGACAAATTCCACAGCTTTCAACATGTTGCAGTGGTTCACTTCCTTCTTGTTTCCATGACCTCGTCACCTGCTGATTTGTTTCATCCAGGAAGCCTGAATTCTACAGAAATGAATTCAGAAGAATACATTGTGGAAACAACCTCAAAAAATATACCTGAGAAACCGGTGCGTCTTATATAGAACGCAAATTGCACTGATATTTAGTAGTGTTATTGTCATTTAGTCATATAAAAATATTAAATGAAAAGGTTCATTTTTGCTTATGGAAATGTTTTTGTTTGTCAGTTTATGTCACTGCATAAAGGCTATATTTTTGTATGGTTGAGGATATGATAATTTTTAATATTTAGAAAACTGTTTTAAAGGGCAACAGGGTATCAATATGCAGTGTTTCTTGCAACATGTTAATGATGAGATTCACTTCAGTTTATCTCTGCTGTGTTTTGAACGTTTGCAATCAATAAATGAATGCAACATATCTGTAAATGACAATTATTTGTGAATAATTGCTCTTATTTTACATTGCTATTGAGATATCACACAACTCTGTGAAATGCATGTGTCCGATTCGTCAAATGATCATGTTTTTTTTTTGTTTTTTTGTATACTGTATAACCTTTCCACAGTGCTAGTGTCTTTTGAATAATTGTTAAATCAGTTTTGTGATACAGATCGGCTGACTGAACTGTACTCATTATTTTTACTGGTGTATTTCCCTTGGACAAAGACTGCTAAGGTCACTTGACATTGTAATATGCAACCCTGGAGCACAAAAGCAGTCTTAAGTTGCTGGGGTATATTTGTAGCAATAGCCAAAAATGATTGATTTTTCTTTTATGCTAAAAATCATTAGGATATTAAGTAAAGATCATGTTCCATGAAGATATTTTGTAAATTTCCTCCTGTAAATATATTAAAACTTAATTTTTGATTAGTAATATGCATTGCTAAGAACTTCATTTGGACAACTTTAAAGGCGATTTTC